AAAATGATGTTAAGACACAATGTACTTCAGTACTACAATAACAGCTAGAGTTATAGAACTATACTATAAAGTAAACACTAGTTTGCACTCTACTATTTCATAGTCAAGTATCTGAGAACTGTATGTAAGTTGTCAGCCATGCACTGGTTGCATAATTGTGAGAATTGCCCTCTTTTGTGACATGCGTAAACTATGGCAAACAACTCATCATCATTAGTTACACAAGATGTAATGAAAAACTACTTTAAAATACCGTGGAAATAAGAATGGCTAGTTAAATGGTTACTGTGTAAGAATGACAATGGATATTATAAAGAATGAATAATAAATTGTAAGGTCATATGTACAAATATTGCGCTTTTATAGCGTGGGTACTTTAAAGTTTAAAACATATTTTTGGCGTATCTATAGCACGGTAATAATAATGATAATATATTTTTTTATTTTTTTTAAGGGGGGAAAATCATCGAATGACTTCTCCCGCCTGGGTGAGGCGGGAGGGAGTGTCAGACTCTTACTGACTAAAAACCACAGCGTTCCTACTCCTGTACGTTGAGCCGGAGCCCCGGTTACCCGTTAAGTTCTCCGCGGCTCCGAATCGGCATCAGCCCTATTTTGCCCCATCTATGGTGGTCGGTGGTCTGATGGCTATTTGATTCGCGCGCGGAACGCGATGCGCCGTACGATCGGGTCTGGTTCTGGTCGGGCGGCGAGCCACCCATGCTCGCCGTCCGCAGGCCCGCGCTTATTGTGGCCGGAGATCGTAATCGTGATAATATTACCGTGTCTATAGTCACTGGATCGGATAAATTAATTTAACTATATTCATAGTGATATTTATTAAATAATGTAAATATTGTAACTTTCGTCAGACGTAATAAAATGTTTTATAATAACTATCGTGAGACACTAAAAATTGCGGCTTCGTTGCGCTAGAGTAGGTAGGCTGTGTGACATCACCGCGACCACGCACGCTGCTCATGAGGAAGAACCCCTCTGTGGTTCGAAACTAGTAGAGCTTTTTTTTAGTTGATTCGCAATAAAATGAGTGAGAAAAATTTCGGTTTTTCCTCGTAATTGATTGACGAGGAACCGAGTAGTGTGAAGTCACCCCGGTTTATATACATGGGCAGCATTGCGTACGACGCGGTGACTGTCGCGCGGCTACTGGCTACTCCAATATTAGTAAACATTGATATTTAAAACATTGTCCCCTAGTACAGATGTATGTAAGACTATTAAAGATCAGGAAAAACATGCACGTCATCCAGGGAAACTGCAGTGTTTGATGTTTTATGGGCATCAGTTTCATTGTTTACCGCTGTAAGCCATTGTTTGTGCTACAAGAAGACTCTTGTTATTAGCACACTTTCACATCATTGCAACTCAAACAGAATCAATGAAGATGAGCCGCATTATATTTGTAAAACATAACATAACATCACGCTTTGTATCTGTATAGGGTAGGCTCTGCCTACCCTTTTGGGGATACAAAGCGGTGCACATCACGGCACTTAATGCCACTGTACAATGTAACACGCACTTTTCACTATTTATGTTGTGAGTCCCATGTAATAGGGGTGATTAGTGAAACAATTCTTCAACCTCCCAATTAATAACGGATCTTAGGTAAATTAATGATTTTCTTTTCGGTTTATTCACGTAATTGTTTGACGAGGAACCCGACTAGTTTCAAGCCACTACAGGGGCTCCGGAGTTTAAGAAGTTGAGGTTTATTTGTGATCGAGCTGTTTCTATTAATAAGTAAAGTCCCTAAGTCATTATGACACCTGCTCAAAGAGTAGGGGAATTGACAATTGTATTCTATTTCTGCTTGTTTTACCATATAGATAATGTCTTCTATCATTGGCTCATCATTTTTCTTTTGTTCTACGAAACCTACGAACGACCAACATGCGTCCAACTCGAATTATCCACGTGCATTCCTAGGTACTATGATAATTTGACAACAATGCTATTGCTACCGTCACTGGCTGTAAACTGTCGGGAATTATCGTTTACTGAATTACGTTTAATCGTCCGACCTTCGTTCATTAATGAACGGTCATCATCCAGTACTTGATCACGTTTCCTGCAGCCATGTATGATGCTCTGTACAAATATGTTTACGCATATTGTCCCGTCATGGTGATGAGTGCTGAACAATAGGAAAATAATTAACTTGAATTTTATTTTGCGCATACCTAATGTCCCTATATTTATTTAGGTATCTATTGAAACCTTATATTCATGGAAGGGAAACAACATTTAATACACTTTATTATTTGATCGCCGTCTTACTCGGCAAGCCGTAAATCGACCAACAGACGCTCAGAATTAGAAATTTTATTAATGTTGATGATTTAGACTAACCCTTTCACTTCGTATTTTATTACAATAATCTCAAGAATGAGAGCCCAGGTTTCGGCATGGATAGGTCGGCTCTGCCACGGTAATACAACCTCACAGGAAACCAGCATGAAACAATGCATGAGTTGTGTTTCGCCATCACCCACAACTGAGTTTACCTGAGCGCGGACGCCCAATTCCTCTTCCCAAAAGACTGGCAACTTGGTAACTCCTCTGTTGTTACCAAGGTCAGCGCTGATCGTTCACCATTAAGTGAACCTTTAGTCTGCTCGTCTGCCCTAGAAAAATTCTAAAACCTCCCATTAAACTCTGCAGTGTTACATGAACATAAAACGTAAACACATATAGTTTAAACACGTGATGGAACTGTTAACTTGTAAATAAGTCAGTGCCTTTAGTAAACTAATGTTGCACCTTGCAACACTGAGGTGCAAGTTATACATCCGTTGTAAGTGGATGTCAAGATACCAAATGATAATTTTAGTGTGGTAATCTAGAATGGATGGCGTAGCCAAATATCGACAAACGACTGACAGACACATAATAGCACCAGTATGCAATAGTGCTGTCATTTTCTGAAAATTTCGTCTTCAATGTCGAAAGATCCGGGGCTGCAGATCGAAGCTGGAGTAAGAACGGGGTGGTTTTTAGTCAGTAAGAGTCTGACACTCCCTCTTGCCTAACGCAAGGCGGGAGAAACTATTTTGATGACTATCCCGATTAAAAAATATATCTTACAAGAATGTAGAATTCCAGAAATGTTTTGTTTTATCTAGGAGCCTTTAAATTATATCTGACTAGCGACCCACCCCGGCTTCGCGTGGGTGCAATATGCTTGTATTCTACATTTAAAAATTCCTTAAGAATCACTCTATCCATTAAAAAAATATCAAATTCCGTTGCGTAGTTTTAAAGATCTAAGCATACATAGGGACAGACAGACGGCGGATAGACTTTGTTTTATACTATGTAGTGATGATGTACGGTAATAGTTTATTTCTTCGAACATCTGTTACATTGTCGCGGAGAACCTAACGGGTAACCGGGGCTCCGGCTCGACGTGCAGGAGAAGGAACGGGGTGGTTTTTAGTCGGTAAGAATCTGACACTCCTTCCCGCTTCACCCAGGCGGGAGCAGTCATTTGATGATTTTCCCCCCTTAAAAAAAACATTTGTTACATTATATCACTATGTTTACGCATAATAACACTATTTAAAGCATCAGTAACCGTCCTCCCAGCCAAAATCTAATGCTAATTCTTACCTCTTAAGTTGTTGCGGTAAAGCAATATTTATTTTCCTGTATATTTTATTATTATGTTAATCTCCATATACTTATAAAGTCTTAGTCACTGTATTCCAAGTAAAACGATAACTGCAAGAGGAAAAGATCTCGAAAAATTTATTGTACAGATTGTACCTACTAAGTTTTTTCTGTTAGATCATTCCACTATTCTAAAGGGTAGTTTATGAAGCATTTATAATGAATTTCTTATCTAAAACGTAAACAAATAGAAACTATGTCTATGTAAGTACATTAACAGAGAATGAGTAACGTAAACGTCCTGTGATAACGGCTTGATAATGGTTATCAGACCTCCCACGCGACTAACCTTTGGTCTTGCATCCTTGCATTATCTATTACCGTATAGTTCAACTTTTAGGATGCATCTGCTGCAGAGTATTTCACATTGTATGTAATGACTGCATGCCTACATGGCTCGCGTTGCGTGTCGCGGGTTCGATTCCCATGCGGAAAAACTTTTTATTTGATCCACATATTGTTGTTTTGGGTCTGGGTGTGATGTGTATGTGAACTTGTATGTTTGTAAACGCACCAACGACACAAGAGAAAGTCCTAGTGTGCCCAAAGGTTTGTTTTAAAAAAGGCAGTCGTTAATATTGGATTTTTTCCAAAAGTGTTTCAACTTCAACATGGACTCTAAAATTTGGCTATTCCTACTTACATGGTAAGAGGCTTCGATTTTGGGACTTACATAAGTGAGGAAAAGCTTTAGTATCTACTAGCGACCCGCCCCGGCTTCGCACGGGTGCAATGTGAATGTGTTATACATATAAACCTTTCTTAAGAATCACTCTATCGATTAAAAAAATCCGCATCAAAATCCATTGCGTAGTTTTAAAGATTTAACCCATAAATCCCCAAGCGGTCACCGGTGACCGCTTTCCACTAATATTACAATACATTATAGACCTTATTTCTAATGTTTAGAGACAACTTTTGTATGATCAAATTTAAGGAATGGATTTCAACGGCTAAGCATACATAGGGACAGACAGACGGTGGACAGCGACTTTGTTTATACTATATAGTGATTTCGCTACTCGACTTTTCAGTCACCTTGTTTACTAGCACAGTGTAAACAAGTTACAAGGAAAATATTCAAAGGAGTCTTTTTTAAGGTTAAAATTCAAAGAAATCTTTATCTCAGTTTATCAAAGAATGTCCTCCTAAACTTTCCAAACATTTGACGCAAGTTCAAGTAATTGAATGAATTAGATTCCTTTGAATTTTTTCCTCTTTCGTCTTCCTTCCCTAATTCTTTATTTAGGAAAGAGCAGAGGTCATTGACGTCATTCATAATAAAATGTATTATTTTTTTGTTCCAGAAATAAGGTCAAGGATGCAGTGGAAATTCCCCTGCTGACGAGATGCTGCTTCTGTTTTCCTTTACGAAAGGGCCTGATAGCCTTCGCCTATATCAATTTGGTAAATATATTATTTAATTATGTTATTGTTTTTGACAGCATCGTTGGCTGAGTGGTCGCAAGTGTGGTTGCCCGGCCAGGGGTCTCATGTTCGATTCCCGGGTCGGGCAAAGTATTACTGCGGTTTTTGAACAAATTCTCAGTAGTAGCACGGAGTTTGGAATGGTGCCCGGTAAATGGCAATAGGCTCAACCCCTATTACATGGGACTTACTACATAAATAATTAAAAGTGAGTGTTACATTGTGCAGTGGCATTAAGTGCTGTAATGTATCTCTGCCTATCCCTTCGGGGATGAAAGGCGTGATGTTATGGTGTTATGTATATGCTTTTAAATGTGTGCAGTTTAGTTCACATCATAAAATTAATGATGTCGTCGCCCTTGCTGTGAGGTCAGTTAGATCCATTAGCAACAGCCGACAAGGGCACAACTATAATCTGGCTTCAAACTTTCGAAAGAGGCGCTCACTTTTCGATTATGCATAAAATTGTTATACTTTTCATAAACATAACACATAAAATAACTTCACGCCTATTATTCCCGAAGGGGTGGGCAGAGGTAGATACACATTACGGCACATAATGCCACTGTACAATGTAACACCCACTTTTCACTATTTATGTTATGAGTCCCATGTAATAGGGGGTGAGCCTTTTGCCATACACCGGACACATTTCCAGACTCTGTGCTACTACTGAGATTTTTCTTAAAAACTCAGTAATACTTTACCCGGGCATCAAACTCGGCCAATGAGGCAGGCTTTTCATAAACTAGATATAAATGTAAAAAACGGAATTGTAGTGATTACACGTTACACTATATCAAAGAACAGACCAATAGATACTAGCCCCCATAGATATGTATTTTTCTCTATAGGTGCTCCCTCACCGGGAGCACTCACGTGTAATATAGATTCAACTTTGAGCATTACATTACAATAATACCTCCCTGACTAACGAGCATTTGCGTGTAATGTAACATATAGATTCGACTTTGAGCATTTCATAGGATTTTTTTTAAGGGGGGAAAATCATCGAAAGACTGCTCCCGCCTGGGTGAGGCGGGAGGGAGTGTCAGACTCTTACTGACTAAAAACCACCCCGTTCCTTCTCCTGCACGTTGAGTCGGAGCCCCGGTTACCCGTTAGGTTCTCCGCGACAGCATTTCATAGGATAGGGGAAGTGGAGCGCATTGATGTTACAAGTTGTATCAAGATATTACACATTGTATCATTACAAGGTGCGCACTGTAATGCTCGGTTCTTCTCCTTCACTGATGTAATGCTTTAGGTTCTGTTTATAATAACATTTTATTGAACTAATTTGTTCATATATAGTTGTAATATGGAAATATATAACTATGTGTTTACAAAATATACTTTCATTTCCAGACTTTGACGGTGATAGTGACATGTTTCCTATCGCTGTACATATCATACATCCGCAACGCTTCGGAGGTGGAGCAGCTAACGCTAGCGTCAGAGTACGCGAGACTCATCACAGATGTAGTAGCCTTGTTGATAGAGCTCCTTATGGCGGTCACTTTCATCATCGCCTTACACAGGGTAAGTTCACAACACATTTAAATAATTCCCCGGAGTTTAAGGGCTCGTGTACACGACGTGCCACTGCCGCGTATCTGGTACACAACATTGTGGAGTCGCCGTCGTTTAAAACTATTGAGCCTTTAGGGTAAAATGTCACATCAGAACTCCAACAGTTCTGTTAGAAGACCCATATCGTAAGAGGTCGCTCTTTTATACTAGGGACAATTCCAGACTCCATGTTACTTCTGTTACAAAGGCTTTTTTTATAGCCAATCTCGATAGTACTTTTCCTTACCCATGGTCAAATACATAATCAAAAACCGTTTTTCATTTTTATTTGTTTATAAGTCATTCAGTGTGACGAATCTCAATTTGTTTATAGCATAAACCGGTAATCGAGCAGACGGATCACCTGATGCTAAGCAATTGGCGCCACCCATGGACACTCGAAACACCAAGGCGTTACCGGTGTTTTGGGAATTGGGAATTTGAGGATTGTGTAGAATTCGGGGATTCGGGAGACGGGGACTAGGGAGGGGGGTAATTGGGCCTCCGGTAACCTCACTCACACGACGAAACACAACGCAAGCGTTGTTTCACGTCAGTCGGTCGTCGGTTCTGTGAGTCCGTGGTATCACTCCGGTCGAGCCGGCCCATTCATGCCGAAGCATGGCTCTCCCACACTTAAAATTGCACAGAGATTAAGATTCTCATTAACACAAAGCCAGTTGCCAAGCCCAAAGGCAGGGCAAGTCAAAAAATTTTACTTTCCATTTACTTAAACCATAATAATATACTCCTATAGTGACTATAATTTCTAACTGTCCAAATTGTATGTTCCAGAAACACGTGCTGCTCATGAAGGTGTACCTGTATTTTGAGATCGTGTATTCAATATTCGGCTTCGTGTACAGTATAGCCTTCCTCACCAAGGAGACGGCCAGCGAACTCTTCCTGGAGCTGTTCCAATTAAGTAAGTCGTTGTTTGTTCGCTTTCATTCACTGGACTGGGTTCCCGACTTTAGGAAGCCACGAGGTGCCAAAGCAAATTCGCAGAGGCTCGTTGAATAATTTTAAGATAAGTGATATAAATGACTGCCTCGTTGACCGACTGGTTGTGAGGGCTACTGTCGGATAAGGGGTGTCGGGTTCGATTCCAGAGTCGGGCAAAGTATAACTGGGTTTAAAAAAATTAGTAGTACGCAGCACGGGGTCTGAAATTGTGGCCGGTATATGGCAATAGGCTCACCCCCTTGGGCTCGCTGCCATCGCAGCGGTAAGTCCCCTCTTTGAGGAGTGGCTTGAGAGACGCTACGGCGTCCTCACCTACCGCCTGACGCAGGTCCTCACCGGACATGGCAGTTTCGGGAGGTACCTGTGTCTGATGGGGCGGGAGGAAACGCCCGGGTGTCATCACTGCGAGGACCGCCCTGAGGACACGGTGGAACACACGGTGGGAGAATGCCCTTCGTGGGCTGAGCACCGCCGTGTCCTCAGGGAAGTGATCGGCGATGGCGACCTCTCGCGTCCGGGCCTAGTGCAGGCCATGATGCGGAGCGAGGGGGATTGGGATGCCGTCTCCTCCTTTTGCGAAGCAGTCATGCTAGCTAAGGAGGAGGCGGGACGCGTGAGGCAGCGAAGCGCTGCCTCCTCGCAACCCAGCCATCGCGAAGGACACACCGGGCGTCGGGGATCGCGGGACGATCTCCGGCCACCGTAAGCGCGGGCCTGCGGACGGCGAGCATGGGTGGCTCCCCGTCCGACCAGAAACAGACCCGAGCGTACGGCGCGTCGCGTTCCGCGCGCGCCTCAAAGAGCCATCAGACCACCACAGATGGGGCCCAATAGGGCCGATGCCGATTCGGAGTCGCGGAGAACCTAACGGGTAACCGGGGCTCCGGCTCGACGTGCAGGAGAAGGAACGGGGTGGTTTTTAGTCAGTAAGAGTCTGACACTCCCTCCCGCCTCACCCAGGCGGGGGCAGTCATTCGATGATTTTCCCCCCTTAAAAAAAAAAAAAAAAAAAAAAAGGCTCACCCCCTATTACATGGGACTCATGACATAAATAGTAAAAAGTGGGTGTTACATTGTACAGTGGCATTAAGTGCCGAAACGTGCACCTCTGTCTACCCGTCCGGGGGTAAAAAGAAAAAGAGTGATTATCATCACTTAGATTATATTATTATTGTCATAATATTTATTAACAGTCCAGTCTAGGTTTGGTTCCAGTCGATGTACCTACAACTAAAACTATATTAACCGATAAAACTTAAATCAATAATTTGAATGTCAACTATAATTAACTATTATCATAATTGACTATCTATTTTAGCTTAGATTTAATTCGATATTTTTCTATTCCAGTGCTCCAAGTGTACCTGGTGATCCTAATCAGGAGTTCAATAGTGAAGATGGAGAGAGACGGCTCAGTGAAATACTCACGGGAATCAGACCACGCCTAGTTGTAAATATAATCACCTATTTTAGAAAAATAAGTATTGCCCTGATTCCCCACTATCGTGTGACCGCTTGGAGTTTGACGGAACGGCGCGTTGACAGACGCACGGTCACCGGTGACCGCTTGGATGTATACGGGAATCATCGCCTAAATTTGTTTATACAAAAGTAGTCTCTAAACATTTGAAACTAGCTTCTACCCGCGGCTTCGCTCGCGTCACAGAAGTATAAAATTAGCCTATGTGACATATACCAATACACACAGCACCATCTATACCTACCAATTCTTTTGTTTTCCCTCGGGAATATCAAATTTTTCCGGGAAAAAAAGATCCGCTTTCACGCCGTAACTACTTAACCGATTGCTTTGATATTTTGCAGAAGTAAAGTTAGAAGTCCGGATTAAATAATAGGGTACTTTTTATCCCGGAAAAAAATGATATTCCCGAGGGAATGAAAGTATTAGTATAGATGGCGCTGTGTGTATTGGTATATGTCACATAAACTACTTTTTATCCTTTTGTGACGCGAGCGAAGCCGCGGGCAAAAGCTAGTATGTATATAAACGTAGCAACTTAGGCAATTTATTCAATTAATTCAGTAAATGTGCATGCCGTAAGGCAAAATGTACCGGGACTCTCCATAAATTACATAACAACATATTTTTACCTACATTTTTGGCAAATAAATTATTTCCGATTTGCAATGTGGAGCAATGAGGGAGACGTGTTAGTGTTAGGAATATCTTTAATTGAGTGCCTAATAACTAACTTACACTACTAACTTATAGGGCGAGGTGTCACACACACTACACCTCCCCCGTTTTTTTCAGAAAAAAAATATTTAAATTTTTTTTTGATCATTAAATCTAACATACATAATTATTTCTTAAAATATTCGCACTGTTGACAATATTTAAATACTTTACGATTCAAGTTATAGGTATATTTTGAAATACATTTGGTAAATTATTCTTACAACTGAAATAATCATAATACTTACAACTGTTATCTGTTTTACAACTTATTATAATCTCTTACTCACTGTTCTATATCTAGGTACACATAATACATTCTATTTTGCATAAATATTTCTTTATTATAATCGTAAGGTACATACACATGTAAGCACATTATATTTATACAGGACTCTCCGGTACCTGTTCATTAATTATATTTATTTCATTATATTTATTATCATTCTTCATTTCATCATTATAGTTGTGCTAACTATCATTCACTTTTATATTCATTATAAATTTAGTGTCAATATTTAAGGTTCTTTTAACCTCCAATAATTTTCACAGAGAGAGCTCGTCTACACCATGATCAAACCAAGGACATGAACACTAAACTGTACCTTACCATGTGTACCTATTATATTTATTATTAACTTATCCTTCAACTATCAAACCTAACATAAACACAATCTAATTGAATTGCTTGGTCTACAAAATATTACGTTGTCTTTAGGTGATCAGCCCTCAGTCATACGCCAAAACTTGTGTACCAAGTTATTCCAAACTACCTAAAAACCAAACTTACATACTTATACAAACAATGAACACATTCCAAAGCCTAGCTAATATCAAATTTCATTCATCTAATTTATTTATTTCATAAGACAAAACCAAAGTGCAGTTGTTATTGTTAATCGGTGTCAAGTAACACGATTCTTTCAATACAATCTGACACTCGGTATGACATCATTTACCTATATGGGCATGGGAACATTCCTTTAATCTGATTAATGTTAGTGAAGTATGAAATTTAAAATTCTCTAATTTACAACAAAAATTGCAAGATTATTATTTCGTTCAAAATAATATTAATTATAAAAATTATTCAACATAAAAAAGTACTAGTTATGATTGTCAACAGGCGTGAATTATATCTAGTGTAAAATAATATTTTATAACTAAAATGATTAAAATTATGTGATATAACTTAAATTAACATATAAAATACGTGGGGCCTATTACAATTATGTTTAACTTTTTAACTACACTAATACACTTAACATTTAAACACAAAGTACTTTCGAGTCCGGTTACATTGTGTACCCAGGGTAGCGGAGATTCTCTCAGACGCTACCTGGTCGCCAACATCTCCCGGCTCCATCCTCCAGGACACCAACCGCTCCCGGCAGGTCCATATCAGGCTGCATCGACACCCGGCAGCCAGAAAAATATCCACATTTTGTTTTTTTTTTTAGGGCACAATGCACTTTTTTAGTCCACTTCACTTAAATTACTTAATTATTTTTAACAAATGCAAATATCCAACATTGTACTCGTGCTCAGCGCTGCCCGCGTGGCAGCACTGGCAGGGTCGCCATGCAATGTGGAGCAATGAGGGAGACGTGTTAGTGTTAGGAATATCTTTAATTAAGTGTCTTAAGAACTAACTTACACTACTTACTTATAGGGCGAGGTGTCACACACACTACAGATTTTTGATAGCTTTAAATTAAAATAAGAAATAAAATGTAGATTTTTGTAAGTGCAAAAAAATGTTCGCACCGGTAGTATTACATGGATATAATGGCAAGATAATAGTGCCTACTGCCAGAGACGCATTATCTCTAAATGCCACGTTCAACAAGGTATAAGGAAAATTAGACAAGTGCCAAGCACGCCAGTGCCTTTAGCCAAACGCCACTTTAGCGCTTGTCTACCGAGAGAGTAGAAAACTAAATAATGATGACACTGAAAAGTATCAAAATTTACGTCATTTCCATATAATTTGGTTTTATATCCTACATGTAGACAAGCGCTAAATGGCATTTGGCTACAGCTGTAGGTTACATAGTGGCGCCCGCGAGACGCGCGTGATCATAGAGTAGCTAAAAATTAAGGGCGCCTATGAGATACCTACTGGTCTAGGGCGCTCTGTAAAAATGGGCTAGATAATTTTATTATACATTTTATATGTATAATATAAAATGTAACATATAAAATGTATAATAAAATTATCTAGCCCAAATGAAATATTTCCCATATGCGATAAAGATGTAAATATTTTGTAAGCAGATCTTTTAGGATATATTGTATTACCAACATCTATTATGTATATTTGTAAGTATATCATTGGTATAATTAGTATTAATTAGATATGTCTGGAGATA